CCCCCCCCCCCCGCCCCGCCCCCCCCCCTTAAAGCTTATTAGAGTATGTTGAAGAAATCATTTTTCCAGTATCGTTCTGATAAAGTCTATTTATGTTTACAAGTTGGTAAAAACCTATCGCAGTCTATAGAGTAAGAAATGGTGTACAAAACAAGATCTTGTCCATATTATTCTAATAGTTTGAAGACACAAACCTTCTTTTCTCTACATGTCATTGAGCAGTATTTATCAGAGGTGGGCGACGGACGAAGATCCTCGCGAGAATCACCAGGAAGATTCTATCAATAGTTGACGATGGATGAATCGATGACGGAGCAGAGAATTTGCGCAGTGAATCCCCCCAAATTAGGTTTCTCGAAACTTGTCGAGGTACGGAGCACGAAGTCTGCGAGGCAATCCCTGTGAGGAAGCTAAAGATAGTCCGTCCCCATCTGTGATATGTATTTTACTATACGAAAAGCTCAGTGACTTTTTTTTTCAAGGATAACACAGTTACAATAAAATTAATGTTTCTAACAAAAAAAATAGGTGAAGAAATACCAATGCATACTTTTCTTTTAAAACAAAATTGAAAAAAATGATTTCATCTTTCAACTAAAATATTTTCAAAATGTATTCCAAGCATGTCTTCATGTTTAGTTATTTTCTCAGTCATTTTATGTTCTAATTTGATCAAATCTAGTTTTTTATATTCAGTTTTACATGAGAAAGCAGAATAAAATAGTTTTGGGAAACAATGACAAGATAAATATGAAAATTTTGCTTGTTAACTCAACAAAATGTTGAACTTTTGAAAAAACTGAACGTTTCATCTCAAAAACAAATCAATCTGAAAACATTTTCTGATGTGATTTTGATAAATTCTATCGAATCAAGTGAAAAAAAGAATAAAAAATTTTCTCCTTTCGTAGATTGTCGACACTCTCCATAGAAGAATGATTATTATCATTTAGGTATGTGATCCATATCGTTTAGAGAAAAAATCATTGTGTTTGGTCTATAGTTTTGGTTCATCAAATGAATTTTCATTTGAAGAACATTTAAAAAGTTTATTACAACAATGTGAAATTCATACATTTGATAAAGATAAGTTTAAATGTCCCACTGATACGTGCACATATCATCAAGATTTAATTGGGGGTGGTAAAAATGGAACAAAAAATATTAAAATGATAATGACTGAATTAGGACATTCAAAACGTGAATTAGATATTGTAAAAATTGATATAGAGGGTAGTGAATATCCATTATTTAACTCATGGTTTAGATCGAGTACAATAAACATCTATCCTCGACAAATATTATTTGAAATTCATAAATATTCGAACGATAATAAAGCAACTCATGAATTATTTGAATTATTTAGAAATAATGGATATGTCATATTTTATAAAGATCCAAATTTAGAATATCCTAAAATAGCTAGCGAATATTCAATGTTAAGATTAACAAAAACGTTTACAACTGAACATGTCAAAAATATGACACTTAAAAAAAATATGTAATGTTTTTTATCTAGAATAGATCATGAAATACAAACCATTCGACGTAAAAAGAAAGTTTGTAAACAACTGTTCAATCTGTTCATTTTAGTTTTCACTTACACAACTAACGAGGGAACCGTCTCAAGTGTCTCGCGAATCACGACTCCATATTAACACTTGAAGCAGATCTTGGTGAGACTACGAAAAGCCTAAAAGAGTTTGGATCCATGGTCTGTTGGTCAAAAGTTATGATAGTTTTACTGAATTTTTGACTCATAGTCAGATATTCTCGAAAAACTCGAATTAAAGAATTTTGACTTAAAATTTGCCCTATAGATCGACCTAATTGTTCTTAAAATACCTTGAAATTTTCAACAGAAATGAAGGTGTCTTTCGCAAGATGTTGAAGGTACAAGTAAATCCGATCATTGTGTCCTTCGTATGGCAAGTGGCTATTTTTTGGAAATCTACTATGTTGAGAAAGACACATTTCTTTCTGTTGAAAATTTTAAGATATTCTAAGAACCATTAGGTCTATCTACAGGCAGAATTTTAGGTTGAAATTCTGCAATTCGACTTTTTCGAATATACCTGGCTATGAGTCCAAAATTCAGTAAAACGGTCATAACTTAGGTGTCCTCTCAGTTCGTCCCAAATTGACTTCTCAATTCGTCCCACGAAGATTTTTTTCACAGTTCGTTTCATATATTTTTTTCTCAATTTGTCCCAGATATCTATGCTCGCGCCTCAAAATGAATAAAGTGTGGTACCATCGAACAGTTTAGTCGACGGCGATGGTATGGAACAAGCTACAATAAATTCTTTTGTCGATATTTTTCCACATATAAAACTCAATGGCTGTTTCTTCCAATTATGCTCAATCGTTGTGGAGAAAAATCCAGGAAGTTGGTATGATGCCTCATTTTGAAAAAACAAGTGACAATAATAATGTAATACTGAAGATGTAACTTACGAGGAAACGTCCCCAAGTGTGCAATCGCTTTTTCCTTGAACTTTAGTGGAAAATAGGTAATCGACTGCGCTAAATCCGAATCTGACATCGGTTTGTGCTACTAGACCTCCAGAGACCGGGCTTCTGGAAATCCAGGTTTTCAGAAACTCGAAAAAAATTAGACAAAACCTTTCTTAATGAGGCATGATTGTAGACCGCACAGGACGGGGGCGATCATTTGTTGGAATCGACCCCTGCTTGAATTTCATCAACACATACATGGTTAGATGCAGAATGAACAGGAAAACATTTCTAGCCACTCGACAGACCTTAGAAATGCTCTCAGAAAAAATTGGGTCCAATTAACTGTAATCACTTCTGACACATATTATTGGTCATATTCTCGAGTGGGTCTCTCTCGACCTCATACCTCAGTAGAACTATCATATGTCATTTGAAAGCTCTTTTTCTGCGCTATATTTCTGTATATCACATTTACGGAAATAGTTGATAGTGAAAAAAGTGTCCTAGAACCCGTTGATATTCGAAATACTTTCTGCAAAGCCGTGAAAAACGGGTGACTTATTCGACGGTGAGGATCCTATAATCAATGTTTCTCAACTAGCCACTACGATAGATACCAGTCGATAGAGGATTCCTTGCGCTACAATTTCATGTATATATGATAGTGAAAAAAGTGTCCCAGGACCCCTTGACATTAGAAATGCTGTTTGGAAAGCCGTGAAAAGTGGGCAGCTTATTCCACGGTGAGAATCCTACGATCAACCCTTCCCATCTAGCCACTACGATAGATATACCATTCGATAGAGAATTCCTTGCACTACCATTTCACGTGACAAAAGTATCCTAGGGCATCTTGACACCGCTGAAAAACCAAGTCCTTAGTTTATAGTGAGAAAATTTTGCAAAATAAGACTTCTCCGGGCATTCTATAGTGCTTTTTCACGCAACTGCAGTCGATTTATCACTAGCCCCAAGGGGCGTAAAAGGTACCAAAATATTCTAGTTGAGTTGTTGAGAGGCTAGTTGAGAAACATTGATTATAGGATCCTCACCGTCGAATAAGTCACCCGCTTTTCACGGCTTTGCAGAAAGTATTTCGAATATCAACGGGTTCTAGGACACTTTTTTCACTATCATATATGTATGAACTTGTAGCGTGAGAAATTCTCTATCGATTGGTATATCTATCGTAATGGCTAGATGATAAAGGGTGTCATAGATTATCTTAGACTGTTTGCACATAGGAGATTATTTTCCATAGACGGAGGTATTTCTAAACTTACTTGGCCTCAGAACAACTATTTCCGTAAATGTGATATACAGAAATATAGCGCAGAAAAAGAGCTTTCAAATGACATATGATAGTTCTACTGAGGTATGAGGTCGAGAGAGACCCACTCGAGAATATGACCAATAATATGTGTCAGAAGTGATTACAGTTAATTGGACCCAATTTTTTCTGAGAGCATTTCTAAGGTCTGTCGAGTGGCTAGAAATGTTTTCCTGTTCATTCTGCATCTAACTATCTCCTAGTTCTATATCTTCTTTCTTTGCAAAGTTATAGAATGTAGAGGAAAAGCCCTAAATTAATTTCTTATTTCTATAGCTTTGAGCTGACAATAAACATTTAGGGCTTTACATGAAAAGCCCTTAATGTTTATTGTCAGCTCAAAGCTATAGAAATAAAAAGAAATTAATTTAGGGCTTTTCGTCTGCATTCTATAATTTTGCAAAGATAGATCGTGTAGAGCTAGGAGATATCTCATTTTAATCAGAAATTTGCGATCTACAATCATGCCACATTGCGAAAGGTTTTGTCTTATTTTTAGAGTTTCTGAAAATCTGGTTTTCCAGAAGCCCAGTCTCTGGAGAGTCAGCAGCACAAACCGATGTCAGATTCGGGTTTAGCGCAGTCGATTACCTGTTGTCCACTAAATTTCAAGCAAAAAGCGATTGCACACTTGAAGACCTTTCGTCGTTAGTCCATTATTTAGTCGTACAATCCTCGAGAATCCAATACCTCGAAACACATCTTCATGTTCTTATTTTCGCTTTTCAACTATCATTGTTTGTCCAATATAACTGTTTGTACACCCACAACAGTCATATTTATCACCGTATGCAAGAGGTACGGACAATTATATTAACCCTTTACCCTCCCCTTGGTCATTGGAGTGACTATTTGTAGATCGATGGCAAAAAATTAAGAAAGCATGGAATTTAAAAACTTTGGGAAGATGTCTTGTGGCGAACTCTATAAGCTATCGATTGATAAAGAAATATTTTGTTACAGTGTTTTGTCTCCGAAAAAGATGAATTACAAAATCGATGACTTATAAAAAATCACAAAAATTGGATTTTTTTCGAAAATATTTTTCTTCCAACGAGCAAGATACATCTTAATAACTTATTGTGTGGTATATAACGACAATAATGTCTACCACCGATATTAATGCCTTTTGAAAGTTCCAGAAAAGCCAGGTAGATAAGAGATGATATGATACAGAATGGTCACTCCAGTGACCATTGGGGCGGAATGACTTGAAAAAGTCCTATTTTGGGCCTTCGTAAATTTGATATAGTTCGACCAAAAAACGTCGCAGAGAGTTCGGGACATCTCATTTTGTAGAGAATTGTTTGCTCTATCATTCTACGTAGTTTGAAAAAATTTTATTCGCAAGTTCTAAATGCCGAAAAACTAGGGTTTTGGTTTTCTAGAAAACTCTATTATTGGGAACCCAGTGATGATTTTTATTTTTGCAGATCCCAGTTAGCAACAATTTTCCCTACTCAAGCCGCTATTTAGATTCTTTTTAGCGTTTATGGTTGCGAAAAAAATCTAAAATACACCCAGTTGATCAATTTTTGTAACCACTGTAGTTTTCCAGCACCTAGAACTTGCGAACAAACTACACAGAATGATAGAGCAAACAATTTTCTACAAAATGAGATGTCCCCGAGCTCTCTACAACGTATTTTGGTCGAACTATATCAAATTTACAAAAGCCCAAAATAGGACTTTTTCAAGTCATTCCTCCCCAATGGTCACTGGAGTAACCAAACTACTCTGCACAAACGAGAGTGCGCCTGACCGATCTGTCCATACTATTGCCATATTGGAGACACCAGTATTCTATTCCAGCAGTTGTTTCATCAGTGGCTCTTCTGGAACCACTGTGGGGGGTAAAGGGTTAAGTGGAACCATCATAAAGCACTAGAGACTTTTTCTAATACTCTTTGTATTTGGTGAAAAATGCGTTTCCGCTTTTTCGACTTTTTATTCCGCTTTTCTGACCTAAGCAGCTGGCAACTCTGATGGACACTTTTTTATTCTTCTTGCAGAGGTCCAGAATCTTTCGAAAAATCGAAAATTTCCCACATTTTTATATATGTTATCACATGTACAATACACTATTTTGTAACGTGTCTCTATACTAAATTTTTCTGATGAAACAACAAAAAAAGAATTCTCTCGCATTCTTGTTCTTCATCGAAAACAGTCTGGCCAAGATAAGATACAATGACGAGATCCATATCCATGCACGTTTTTCTTCTTTTAATTTTTATTTTACTTGGTGTCGTGATGATCATGTTTCGCACGATCTGAGGTGGAGTGCGCTAGCCAGGGACATAACTCTTCTTTGCCGGCGTAAGTTGGATGCATTGAATCGTGTGTTTGGTTTAGCGCCATCAGAGGTTCGATATTGGATCTATATTTTTATAACTTCATTTTCGATGACTTTCCTCTCTTCGCCGTAAAATATTTTAGACTTGTTCAGTTTTCAAAAATTTACCATCTTAGTCCTCTCTCCATTTTTTATCTTGTTCATCGTCCTTACTACGCTTCTTTACACCTTCATCACTTCAGACACATTCGCATTCTATCCCTTGTTTACGGCCTTTCTTCACAAACAGTTTTCTCCTTTTTTTTATAGAACTGTCACTGGCTGGAATAAATTACAAGAATCAGTGATTTGTTTTTCTTCTTTGTTATCATTTGAAAGAGCTCTATCTCTACATCTTTTAGAGTAAAGTACAGCCATAT